AGCTTTCGCGAGATTTTTTTAGCTTTGAGTTACCGGCATTCTGTAAGATATGATGAACCGGCCAGAGTTTCTTCCAGGTATCCTCCCCCCCCCCCCCGAACAGTGGCGTAGCGAGGTCGGGTGTCACCCGGTGCGGCACTTAATGGTGTCACCCCCCCCCCCCCAGATTCGTAGGAACCCCCCCCCCCTCAAACTTTCGATTTGCACCCCCCTCAAACTTTCGATTTGCACCCCCCCCCCCTCAAGTTTTTCTCTATATATTTTGCTATTTTTTGCCTTGGTGTCACCCCCTTAAATGGTGTCACCCGGTGCGGTCCGCCCCCCTCCCCTCGCTACGCCTCTGCCCCCGAAGAAAGTCTACCCCCCCCCCCCCCCAACGCAATGGAAGTTATATAGAAGATATATACTTTTAACAGTGTCCGCCCCTCCTCCCCCGGAAATTTTTTTAGTACGCCCCCCCTCCCCCCACAAAGTTTTAAATTCACCCCCCTCCCCCGGAGAAAAAAGTCTGGAAGAAACACTGTAACCAGTTCCATGTGTTCATGGAAAAGAAACACCACTAAAAACTTGCAACTGATCGTGTATCACATCGCAGCTATTAAATAACACTTGTCTAACTCATTTCTGCCAAATTCTGAAGGCAAAAGTATAGCATCAAGAATGCTACTAGTAAATGAACTACAGTGACCAAGAGAGTTTAGCATTAACAGTGTAGAGAGTAAGTGAACGAAGTTAAACTCCCCCACTCTACACCTCCGCCATCATCTCCAGTAAGCTCAAGTCTGATTCCCAAAGAATGCACACTTTATACAACAGGTTGTTTCTTTACATTCTCCTTTATTGTGTTTTTATACATCTTATATTTAGAAATACGTTTTTCTTATCAAAACTACGTAACAAAAACTAACTGGAGTGACATTTTGGAGTTGAAACGGATTAATGGCATTTCAAGTAGATCTAATTTCACTGGAGAAAATTGCTTTGAAATACGAACATGTGTACATACCAGAAAGGTTAAGGAAAGGATTGAGTGTGTATCTCGAGGTACTGTTCCGTATTGAATCTATATTTAGATCGTTTCCAATGACGTTCTGCAGATTGTACTTGAGGAGGCTTCCGATGTTGCAAGCAAAGATAGCTCTATATAAAATGTAGCAAGCAAGGTAGCACTAGATGTAGTAAGATAGCTCTATATATGTAACAAGCAAGGTAGCTCTAGATGTAGCAAGCAAAATAACTCTTGATGAGTCCAGAAAAGTAGCATTAGAATTAGCAAGATAGCTCTAGTTGCGGCAAGCAAGATAGCCATAGATCAGGGGCGTAGCGAGGGGGGGGGGGGCGGGGGGTGCGGACCGCACCGGGTGACACCATTTAGGGGGGATGACACCAAGACAAAAAATAGCAAAACATAGAGAAAATCTTGAGGGGGGTGCAAATCGAAAGTTTGAGGGGGGAGGTGCAAATCATAAACTTGAGGGGGGTGCAAATCGAAAGTTTGAGGGGGGGGGGGTGCAAATCGAAAACTTGAAAGTTTGTCCCCGGGAAGGGTCGTTACGCCTCTGGGGGGGGTGACACCATTAAGTGCCGCACCGGGTGACACCCGACCTCGCTACGCCACTGCCATAGATGTAGTAAGCAAGGTAGCTCTAGATGAGTCAAGATAAGTAGCCCTAGAACTAGCGTTAGGTAGCCCTAGAAGTGCCCAGCAAGATAAGTAAAGTCACTGATAATGTACCAGCTAAGGTAGCAGTGTGACCCCACCTAATAAAGAAGCAACAAATGCATCATTCACATTAGTTCCAGATATCTTCAGATGTAGCATTGTTAATCTTCCATTGTAGCACTCTAGCAAATCCATCCAACATCTGTAGCAGCATTAGATTAGAACCAACACTGTCTCGCTTTCACCCAAATCCCTAAACCTAACATGTACCAGAAGGATTTCGCCGGCCTTAGACGGAAGCCCAATCATATTTGTTGTAAATCTTTCCCGCCTTCGGCATCACGGGGGAAAGTTAAACAGAAGATTCTCAGAAGGAAAGAGAAACCTTCGAGGAACGGAAAGAGAAAAAAGGAGGACGGAAAAAATAAACCAATTGAGGGGGGGGGGGGGGCGGAAAGAGAAACCGGTGGATGACCAAAAACGAGGACACAAGAGTGCGAAAAGATAACTCACGAGAACTGAATCTCTTCCCTCAATAACCTTCACCTTAGCCCTTCACCGAGGTATCTAAATTTCGACACACATTCAGCGGAAGTTGACACAACCCTCGAGGCGCATGTCTATTCTCACGTGATTCAAGTGACAAGGGGTGGATGACGTGGAAGGGACTCGAGGCAGTCTTGCTCGACCGTTTTTTTGGGAATTCCCAATGGAAGGATAACTCTGGTTGAGGGATAAAGGGGGAGCAATGATGTGCTGCTTGGATTGTGCCCCTTTGATCGTGGTCAATAAAAGTCAGGAGTGGTTAACTCTACTGTAGTCCACATTATTCATGGTTGGTAAATATTCAAAAGGTGCGGGATCAATGATTCAAAACTAAAAACTCCAAAGTTTTTTTTTTTCAAAGAGAATGTTTCAAAGAGAATGTGAGTCAGCAATGGTTATTCGACCTGATGCTGGGTACACATTAAAGCTGAGTGGACTCATGAATATTGCTTATAATTAGAGTCTTAAATGTCCGCTTTTTTCGCAATGTAATGGGCAAACTGGCAGAGCGACTGCCCATATAAGCAAGACTTGTGCCCCCCCCCCTCCCCCAGCTATAACAGTTACGTGTCTCACTTACCATGTAAGCCGACAGACATGGCTGATTCAATTTAGTCAACGATTACAGTAGCCCGGTGTATCCATAGTGTATAGAACTCTTTAAAACAAACTTAGGCGCCACAGTACTCAAGGGGGGGGGGGAGACCGGGGCGCCCAACCGCATCGCTTGTCCTAATTTTTTAATTTTTTTTTTTTTTTTTTTTTTTGCGGAAACCTTCTTGGTAGTATCTTCATCAGTTTCTTGAAGTTTCATGGCAATTCAACAAGTCGAATTAAATTTTAAATTATATAAATCGAAAGGATTTCTATTGTTTTCAGTTGCATTGCTTATCCTACTGACCAAACCAGCAGTCTAAAATGTACAATGTTCTGACATGGGAAATTATACGTTGATGAAAGCTGCCTAGTATAGCCATATGATTAGCATGGCGGGATATTGTATCTCATTTTATATAACTGTAACAATTTGTAGAAACTAGTTTACCAATCTTTTAAAAGTTTGATTAAAATTGAAATCGATCAAACGGAATTTCCTTTTCTGGTGAATTTAAACGGAATAAGTAAAGATCGAATGTAGGCCTAATACACCATATATTATGTTTTTGAGTGAAAATAGGTTGTTCTAACCATAACGAACAGTTTATTTTAGCGGATTAAATTTAGTTGTATTGGTCTACTTGTTGAAAAGTTTCATAACATTGGATAGGAATTGGAATGTATTAAAGCGACCCGATTTAAGGTGCAAAAAGGTTAATGGCTTTTTAGTAAAATACTAGACTACCCGTTATTCTTGAATAACCATGTGTTTCAAGGGTCATTTTTTGACAGTTTTTATATTTCCCCTTCCCTTCCGTCACACATCTTCACAAATACAAGTTTAAGCATCGGTCAAGAGCAAAATTTCATTTATATATCATTATCAGCGATACTTTTTCAAAGTATCAAATTGTGGTAAATATTTTCTCGGGGTGAGTATTGAAGTTTTTATGTATAAACAACAGCGAACGTAATTTTTTTTTCTCTACATTGTTGGAATAAAGATAAGGATTTGGGATTAATTTTTAGCCAGTGTTTCTTTCAGACTTGTTTTCTACGGGGCGGGGCTGACACTGATAAAATTATATATTGTCTATATAAATTCCCCCCCCCCCCCCCCCCCCCCGAAGAGATGCCAGTGGTAGAGTAACAAATGCTAGCAATAACTATGAATAACTTAATCTCTACGCCCTGTCGGCCTAACAAATACATTTCTAATTCTTTAAACTAGTTTTTTTAGTGGATGCTATGGTAAAAATGTCGGCCGGAAAATACAAAGAAAAAAAGAATTTAGTTTATTCACATAGTTGCGTGGTTATGTCAACACAATATACGTTTAATTGGTTTTATTTTGTGTGTTTTGGGACAGTACCGATCTAATTATAACAGTAAGTACTTAGTTTTTGTTGGTAACTTGCTTTTTGTGGTACAGTTGTCAGATACGCTTTATGCTGTGTAAAGCAAGAGATAATGTAATTGTAGATTGATGATTTTCTTTACATATTGTAAAGCAAGAGATAATGAAAGCATTATGTAGTTTATTTGTTTGAAGGTATGCCGGTAATATAGGTACAATGCAAGAATGATCCATTAAGTTAAAACAAAGTAAAGTTTCCCTTTGACAATACATAGGTCACATAAAAAAAGTTCCCTTTACAAACCAGACGGTCCATGGGGAAAGTGAAGTAGAGTTCACCTGTTTTGTGACCTCGGCATATGAATGGATAGTGTGGTCAGCATTATGCCCTAACTTGAGCTAGGTACCCATCAGTGCTGGGTGGACTCAGGAACGTTCTACAGACTTGAACCCAGATTCGGACTCTAGTCTTTCTGTTTAGCAGTCTACCTCTAGGCCACGCCGTCCCATATAGGACAAATGAGTAAAGTTAATCTGTTTCTTGATCACGGCATATAAAATGGTTGGTGTTGTCAGCACTATGCCCATCGCATCATCGTAACGTGAGTCGGGTACCCATAAGAGCTGAGTTGACTCATGGAAGTCCTACAGACTCGAGCCCAGCAAGTTAAATACTAGTGTTTTTAAGTTCCACCAAAACATTACTATCAAGAAAATAATAACTCCCCTCGTATAAAACAAATATTCCATTAACAAAAGAAAATAATAATGAATTTTAACATACAACGTACCAGTGTAATAATTTTAAAATACTAAAACAAACCAATTTTAACTTACTAGAACTGTGAAGATGCCAAGCGGTCACAACTCCAGACGCTGAGCGCCCCAGTACGCCGGTCATCCGCCGATTTGTTGTGGTATTTAGAAAACTCCATTCAGAAATAACTCCCTCCGCTCTGCTTGCTATCTTTTGTTAGAGTCGGCTGCGCGCGCAGTGTGTTCTACTCCTGGCGCGCGCCGGTGATGGTGACAGAGCGCGAGAACGGTGGGCAATGAAGAAAATGACGTCAGATTATTGGGAGTTAATTATCATCGATTCTTCGGAAAACGGATGGATGATTTGGAAATGTTTAAGTTAGGCGGCTTACATAAATGACGGTGTGAGAGCAAAAGGGGGAGGGGGGTTTAATGTGGGTTTTGTAGTAGCGTGACATGACGTAATCATAAATAGTGCCACGCTTGGTTGGCTACAAGTGAGTTACAATTTGTCTCCACATGTACCAAGCCGCTTACCTTATTCTCTATTTACCAAACACGTCCCCCCCCCCCCGAGTCATACTGTACCAAACATGCCCCCCCTCTCCCTGAACCATATTGTACCACACATGTTCCACAATATTTTCAGTAATTGTCTGTAACCAGAGGCGTATCCAGGTTTTTGTTGTAGGGGGAGCGAAAATAGCAAAAAAAAAAGGCGCCGAAATTTGTAATGTATATATATATATAGGCCCTATATATATATATATATATATATATATATATATATATATATATATATATATATATATATATATATATATATATATATATATATATATATATATATATATATATATATATATATATATATATATATATATATATATATATATATATATATTAGCTGTATGTTATTGCTTTGCTACGTTGTAAAATAAATTGAAAGTAACACTCTGAAAAAAAAAAACACACACACAATGTTGGCCGACAATACAAAAAATGTTGGCCGACAAAACAAAAACTGTATCACTCTAAACAAAAAAAAAACAAATAAAATATACACACACTACAACAAAAAACGATGAATGCAACATAATCCGTTTTGTAATCCTTGTAAAAAAAAACGACATAATAATTCCTGGGACACTAATTAAGACAAGCGAAATAGGGGGAATAATCCCTCTCTTAATATAAATATGTAAATGTCTACACATGTAATTATATATATCAAAACAAATAAATAATTACTTTAAAATGTAATAAAGTAGCCTAACCCTATTCGTTTTTTACAAAAGTATCTTGTCTACAATCAGAATTAAATATATTGTCACCATAATGCTAAAGTATTACAGCATAATGAAAGTTTTTTTAAAATCAGAGTTGGTATAAAATCAAGCTTTTTTAATTTATTGTAAAACATTCGAAATAATAGCTTACATACAACTAAAATATTGGTCTTTGCATTTCAGATCATACATTTTTTGATTAGCTACTTTTTGTGTTCTTTAAAGATCATTTTTAACATAATGATAAGGTGTGGGTTAGATCACTGTATTGCTCACACACTTTTTTTTTTACTGGTAATTGAAAAAGCAATGTTCACAGAGATTTACGTTTCAAAAGCTATGATTCTGGCGGCATGTTCTTTGGTACATCATTACGCGTTTTCCCAAATGTACTTAACAGATCAGTTCGGGATGAGTTGGGGGGGGGGGGTTCAACTTCATTAACCACTGTCCGGTCAATTTGGGTCAATTATCCAACCCAGAGTTTTTAGATGACTGTTTTAAACATACATATTCAATTACACATGTATAGTGATTCAGAAATAGATATTTTTTTTACAGAGGGGTCCATGGGTGGGGGGGGGGGGGGGGTTGATACCCCCTAACCCGCTTATGCCACTGAGCTGAGCGGATTATTAACTGTGCGATCAGTATTAGCTTAAGTTGAGTTGTTTTTTAATACAAAATATAGCATTATTCAAATTTAATATAGATCTAGATCTAGTAAACTAAAATAATAATTAATATAACGTTGATACTGTTTCATTTAATTTGTAATCGTAATCACTTTCGCCCAAGCTGTCATAATACTACTACTTCATCGTGATGACGTTGTTGACCTTGTCAAAGTTGCCCCACCGCTAGGCAGTTCGCCCATAAGTAAATTAAAAGAGAGGTGCCACATCAATTGTATTTGTGTCTGTATTGTAATTTCAAAAAATAAATTACACGATTCAAAGTGTGTATATTAATTAATTATGTGTGAAGTTTATTTATTTATAACATTTTCCAATTAAATTATTTGTAAACAAATACATTATACAGTTGCCTTAAACTTAACACCCCTCTTGCCAAGTGGTACTACCCGTAGAGGTTTTTTAAACATTGCAATGCATCGTAATGGTTATTTTTAGAATGACAAACTGATACAGCTGCTAATACGTTTTGTACACGTAGACTCTACTAGTCTATTACTATTATGCTTAATTGCTGCATGAAAATAAATCTTGTGATTTACATAGATGTGCCGACCAAAAATAATTTTTCTAACAAATATCATCGTTTAAAACTAAGTTTAAAAATTTCCACTTTGCTGAAAATGGCCAGAGGGGGAGCAGCCGCTCCCCCTGCCCCCCCCCCCCCCCACCCCCTGCGTACTCTACTGTCTGTAACCTAAAGTGGTACTTATGTCCTGTTTATGAACTTACTGAATTTCATATTTCTAAATTATGTACTCATAAAGCAGCATATTTTAAAAACTTTTCACCTCCATGTGAAAACGAGCAATTTTTTTCCACAAACTACCTAACATTTTGAAAGTGACATCCCAATACTTAAGGAGAACAAACCAGGAAGTTTAGAGGAGCTCACTCCTGCTTTATTTAAAGAAAGATAATTTTTAGTTTAAATTGATTCCAGTGTAATAACCTATTTATAGAAGTTGCAGTTCAAAATAACTATTTAACATTTCCCATTTAATGATGGCTTTCAAATACTGGCCTAATCCAATTGTTACCTTATCTAAACATTATCATCACCTTCAACCTGAACCTAGTGAAGTGTGAATACTGGGTAAAAGACTTGAAGGCATATGTTCCAACAAATAAGGTAAAAAAATCACTAGACATCTGACACAGTTTCACAGCTTTATTTAGCAGGAAAATTGTGTTATATTGGTCAAAGGTTGAAACACTGGTTCACATTCAATCATACAAGAAAATAATATACTTCAATCAATCTGAAGATAATGTACCTCAATCAAAATACAGCCACCCATCAGAATATACTTCACTCAACTAAATACAACCAACCATAAGTCAACTAAATACAGCCACCAAATGAATATTATACAGGTAAACATATATGTAACCAAATGCAAGCTGACATTGATCACAACTTTGCCAACTAGCACATAAAATAGCATTAAAACAAAACATTTCAGCCTGTGTAACATTGATAAAGGGAAGGCACTAAAACATTAATGCAATTTTCAAATATTATCTCCCTTTTTTTTACACCTGCAAACAAATCTTATAATATGAATGTGATCAAAGAAGAAAAAACGAAATGTTCAAGCATTGACCTTAACAAGGGCAGGAGGGAGGGTGGGGAACAAACAATAATTGACCCCCTCCCTTGATTGAACATTTTTAAGTAAGGTAATTAATCACATCTTGTACAATAGTACAGTTCTTTATGAATATAAAGGCTGAATCTGGTACCTTGCTAATGTCTGAATTGACAGATCACACAGTGGCATTCAGTCAAGGTATTGTTTTTTTTTACAGAAGCTTCATCATGTGTCTTGACAAACATAATGATGTGTTTTTAAAAATAATCTTCATGTGTCTCAACAGACATCATGATCTATCATGACACAATGTGACTAAGCACAGCCATCATTTTATATATATATATATATATATATATATATATATATATATATATATATATATATATATATATATATATATATATATATATATATATATATATATATATATATATATATATATAAATTAATGTACACATCCAACCAGCTAACAAGTAACTGAACTAACCATTGTGCATCATTCTACAAATTAATAATCATGTTACTAAACTAAGTATCATGTTATGAAGTGACCATCATATGTATAAAGAATACAGAGATAATTATCATAACATGCTGACCAGACCATTAGTCAAACTGTTTATACAGCAACTCCTACTTAATGGTAGCCAGCAAATTAGCCCTGCGCTCTGTATTTTGAAACAACGCCCTGATCAACTGCTTCAGTTCTATCGGAGTAAACGCCAGTGCCAGGGGTCCTTTCCCATCTGACCAGCGGTCACCAATCTCTGACAGACTGGAATCCAAGACAAGCTTCATCTCCGTGAGTCTTGACCAGTTGGACACATGTCGGACAAGTTCGGCATTCGTTGCCTCCCCTGGAGAGGTCATGAACTTGCCGCAGCTATCCTCCAAAAGGGAGAGGATGGATATAAGTTTGTTGGCAGCATCCTGGGATATATCCTCCAGAGCGGATACACAATCCGTCACTCGCTCCACAACAGTCTGGATAAGTTTGCCTAGAAAAAACACATAATATACACAGATGGATTTTTCACAAAAACATCAAATTATCTCTTAAACACCAACAGCATCAAAATGGTGATTAATTGTTACATTTAACAGAGGAAATTTGTTCTGTCTGTTCTGTCAAATTAGCAGTGCTTGAACTTTAAATTGTGTAACTAACAAAATCATTGATAGGAATATTTTTTACTTTACACAACTGTTATTTCATAAAACTTCTTAAATATTAAATAAATTTTAAAACAAATCAAATAAAAAATATATGTAGAATAGAAACAAAAGCCAATTATTATTAAACCATATAAATGAGGGAGGTTTGTCTCTATACCTAAATAGACTACACATTGACTACAGTTTGTGAATGTCATTACTTACCCATTGCCTTCTTGTAGATGTTCAAGGGTAAAACAGGTTTCCATATCTTGTGCAGGTGCTCCATCTGTAGCACCACCTGGCGCACTGATCTGCTGGCCTTCTCTTCATTTGCCTGCTCTTCCACGTTGGTGAAGCCTTGAACAGGGGAGAGAATCAGGTTAATGAAGGGGAGAGCATCAGGTTAATGTAGGGGAGAGAATCAGGTTAATGTAGGGGAGAGAAACAGGTTAATGTAGGGGAGAGAAACAGGTTAATGTAGGGGAGAGCATCAGGTTAATGTAGGGGAGAGCATCAGGTTAATGTAGGGGAGAGAAACAGGTTAATGTAGGGGAGAGCATCAGGTTAATGGAGAGGAGACAAACAAGTTAACAGCATGAATAGAAAATAATTTTATCATTATACAATAGAATGTGTTAATGATAGTTATTGTAATACCCATCAACTGTTTAGCAAGCTAGAATAGTCGCCATGCACAGTAAAGGGGTTAAAATCAATGAGTGAAAAAAAAAAAAACTATGAAAACAAAATATTTTTAAAACAACTAAAATCTACCTTTTTGCTAATGGAATTGTTTTACTTATTTATAAATTTCTTGTTTACTAAACATCCGAAAAATAAAAAAAAATAAAAAGTTTAAAACCAAACAAACCATCAGCCCCATCCAGGCACTCCAACAACAATCCTGTCTGTCTGCTGACCTGTGCCACAAAAACCTCCACCCCACTCTTCCTCATCTGCTGGATGAGATCAACAAATGTTGGGACTATGGTGTCTGGCAGCTTGGGAGCAAACTGGTGGCCCAGTGTCATCAGGTGGTGGGCTATGTACATACAGTTGTTGTGGTGGAGAGCTGCAATACAAAACAACATGACGGTTAGTACACAATAATAGGTCTACACAATAATAAATAACACTGAAATAAACAATAACTTTTTAATATCCTACAATTTTTTACAATAAAAAATAACATCACTCCAGGGTAGGATGGGCAGTGTATCTTAAACAGTTAAACACATAATCATTCTAAATGATTAGATTACCATGCTGACCATTAGACAAGATAAGATAAACAAGCTGACTAGTAGAAAAGTTTACATGACCATTTGAAAAGTTAAGATAAAGTAAGTACATTTCTTCTTCAGACCTCGCAATCCATTTGGCAGATGAAGTAGAGTGCATGGGTTTCTTGACCTTGGTATAAGAAGGGATGGTTTGGTCAGTAATATGCCTAGCCTCAACGTAAGTCGGGTACCCATATCAGAGCTGGGTGGACTCAAGGACGTTTTACAGTCACAAGAGGGAACTGTGATCTGAACTCAAGACGTTTAACCACGTCATCCCTCAGAACGGTTTAAATGACCATTAGCCACGTTGAGATGACCAAAAGACCACTAGAAAGTTAGTTTACCTGAAGCTTGAGGCACAGTGAGGAGACTCTGTCCATGGTGTGTTGGCACCACAATAAGGAACATCTCAAACATGCTGCGGACAGCATAGAACATTTGAATAGCACATTCAGACGAGCTTTCTGTGGCTTCACTCAATGTTTCATAGGCCAGCCTCATCAGGGTTTCTATGCTTTGGCTGAGAGAATTACAATAAGTCAGTGATACATAGACAAACTGTGTCAGGGTTTGTATACTTTGGCATCAAAATAATGAGCTTGGTGTTTAAATAAATAAAATGGCTCAAACAACATACGATAACATTAGCGAGTTGCGCAGCTTGCGCCGTGACCTTTGTTGCCATGGTAATCATGGCTGTACCTTGAACCTAAATTCCATGTTTCCGGTTGCCCATTGGTAATTAAGGCCATGTCGCTTAAGGCGAAACCACAGCACACCTGATCTACGCATGACACAGTGCGCATCTTTGTTTTAACCTCAAGAGGATTTAGATTCAAAACCTATTTTAATTTTTGGATCTCGTTTATTATCTTACAGAGGAGCAATGTGCTGAAATATAAGGTAAGAATCTATAAATAATAAGGTACTTAATATTTACATTGACATGCCCAAATGTTGACTAGACTAATAATTGGGTCTTCTAAAATTAACCTATATTTTAAAATTACGATTTCAATGGTCCGCAAGCCTAGGAAGGCTCACCGCGATAGAGCCTTAATTTCGCGCCAAATTTCCTGTGATTCTTACATTATTAAAATATCGCATTACTTGATTACTATTAATATACTATAGGCCTACTAATAATTAATAATTTAGTTTAAGTAGCCTACATTACATTTACTAAATTATTACGGTTGATTAGGACAATTAGGTCTAGATCTAGATCTAGACTTCACATTAATTTAATTTTAAGATTTTTACACAAGTTGACTTAAATCTAGATTTCTAGATCTAGACTCTAGAAAATTTAGACTCTAGTATAGACTAGTAGTAAATAGGCCTAGAATAGATCTAGATCTAGATATTATTAATAAGATAGATAGTCTAATAGATTCTGGATTTAGAAAAACGAATCCAGATTACTAGCTCTATTGATCTATAGTAACTAGATCTAGTCTAGATCAGATTAGATTTAGATCTAGAATAGATCTAGATCTAGTAAAAAATAATCTAGCTTTAGGCCTAGATCTAGTTTAATTCTAGATCTAATTTAATCTATAGGCTAATAGGGCCTACACTAATCTAGATTCTAGTAAGAAATAAAAGGTGCTAGTTAATTTTGATATAGTCTAGATCTAGATTCTAGATTTAGATCTAGAATCTAGATAAGTTAATTAATTATATAATTATATAGGCCTAAGTGTTCATCTAATTCTGCATTAAGTATTAAGTAGGACTAGGCCTATATCAATTCATTAATTAGCCTATTTATTTTAATTCAGTACATTTAGTAGATGAACACAATCATTTAATCATTATGTTTGATTAGGTCATACAAGTACTAGATCTAGTCTAGATCTAGATTCTAGATCTTGTAAAAATAGTGAGACATTGTTAAATGGTTAAGAATAGATTTAGACTAGTGCAGGTATAATTCTCCATCAAGTAGGCCTATATATTTAAATTAATGTAGGCCTATGTATATATCCATAATTAGGCCTATTAAGGACAATTTTAGTACTTGATTATTTTATTAATATTAATTTAATTCTAGACTTGTGTGCCTAGAACTTGGGTCAGTTTGTTTTCTTTGTACATCTTATTTGCTTATAGGCAAGACCAACAAGGTGTAAGAAGGGTTGCTAATGTAATCAGAAACTTGATGGCTGAGATAAAGCGGCTGAGGAGAACAGGGGCTTGTGACTGGGAATAGGTTGGTGGAACTTGTGTACAGCCCTTTCTATGTTCAACCCATGTCTCAGGTGGAAGTACATTCAGTAAGTATGGAGACTGACTTTATTTCTAATGTTTATATTTATTTTATATAGTTTGCAATATGTTGTGCTAGATATATATTTTGTGAAATGGTCTGCTAAATTCTAATTCCATTTGCCCTTCTCTTTTCAGGTACAGTTTTCATGGAGATCCAGCTTTATTCAAGGCTCATCTTAAAGAGAATGATGTGGCTGCTGGGACATAACTAAAATCTACATTCAACTGCTTGCAGATCTCAAGAAGCCTGGGGTTCTCATGCAGCGCCGCAAGCACTCAGGCTGATTGGGAAGTTAATTTCTGGTCGTTTGATAAAGCTCATTTACAAGAACGCAATGTGGCGATCAAATGTACTCTGTTTCTTAAAGTCATGGAAGCGTTGTTGACTTCTACTGAGCCTTTCTTGGTGCGACAGCTGGAGAGGTATCTGATGGGAAATCTGATTGGTGGCCAGTAGACTCATAAGTGGGAGCAAGGTGATCAGGGTGTGTCGCAATACAGTGGAAGGACTATTAAAAGACTGCCAGCAACAAAACAAAAGTCAGCTCTTTACACCATAAGCTACTGGGCAGAGGATGAGGATAAAGCTGAGGATTTCAGTCATCGGGCAGAATCACTGGTGGTTGACTTTATAGGAATCTTTTTTTTTCTTTCTGAATAATAGCTAAACAGAATTTCAGAGTACTTCTTTCATTTTTAGTATAAAAATGAACTTTATTTTTTAAACATTAGTGTTTTTGTAAATTGTTACTGAAAAAATGATTGCTCTGAATTGTAAACTTATTTTGAAAACTAATACTAACAATGTTTATAATTAAGTTTAGTTTTCATAGTGTAAAAAAAATTACATTTTAAACTAATTTTTCAGGGTAATTGACATCAGCTAGATAATCCTAGAATCAGTAGTTAATGTGCTTCAAAAATGCTGGTCCAAACTAATTTATCACACAAGTACTAACGCTTTTTAAAATATATATTTTTTCCTCAGATGTGCTAATTGTATCTAAAGATTAATTATAATTGATACTTTAGAAAATTGTTTTAACACTAAAGAGACTAAAGTGGTCCAAGAAATTTTTCGTCACCTATTTTTTTCCAGCATACATTCAATGAATGGTTAGATTTACTAGTAATTATACTTTAAACCAATATTTTAATGTTTATTCCTTGATAATTGATACTATTTTTCTTCTTAAGAGATCGTAATGAGACGAGGCTGATTTCTTGTACTGTAGATTTGTTTCTTCACACTAATTATGATTATGTAACTGTTTTACAGTACTGTGATGGTCGTAGATTATACAAGGGCTAAATTTAGGTTGTCACTATGTAGTTTATTTCTTTGCTCTGATAAACATATTTTTAAATTATTGCAAAAATTCTTTTTTTTTACTTTGCCATTCTCCTAAATGTTTCTATTTTATTAGATAAAATTAAAATTCATGTGGTAATCTGATTACTGTATTTTAATACTGTGTTTCTCACATTCTAATAATTTACATTGCATAGTTTAGTAGTAATAAACACTGGTACACACTTTGACAGCTGTTTTATTTTATTTTGTTCTATAATTTTATTATGGCCTCCTGATATAGACACTGAATTTCAAGTAAGTGGGGGGGGGGGGGGAGGGGCTGAGAAAGTAACGTAAAGGCAACCAGTTGCTACTTCCATTTATCATGTAGTGTATGTAGGTCTACTCTACTTCATCTACCCAAGTAATATCGTTCATTACAATTAGATATAAAGAACTTGTGCAGTAATATGTGCTTATGCATTTCTATTATATAATAATAGTAGTAACAGTATTAAATAATATTAATAAATCGATTTACAATAACTAGATCTAGTTTATTTTAAACCTAGATCTACATTATTTTTTTTACACGGAGTAATAAGTCAATAATAATATATGAATGGCATTAAATTACTCATTCAAATCACATCCAGTCCAGTATAGCTTAGACTTTAAGCTTGATTATAATTTTTTAGTTTTAAAAAAAAATGCGAATCCCGGATGATGCAATAAAATTATAATTTTTTAATTTTTCGAAAAATGCGAATCCGTGATGATGCAATGAAAAAACCATCGGTGCCAACTTTTTTGCTTATGTAACATTGACTTGAATGACGAAGGTCTAAGCTGTTTTAGCCACGCCCACAAATTTTTAAAAGGCCATATCTTAGCTCCTAATTAAGCTAGAGACACAAAATTGGTATCAATGTGTAGGGGAAAAAATCCTGTTTTATTGTAGTATAATTTTACTTGAAATTAGTGGAGTTTGAAAAATACGAGCAACAGCCTAATAACATCATGTATTTGTTTACTTGAGGTGTGATAATTCATGTGACAGCCCATAACATAAAGCTACTTATATACAGAACAGCTGTCATTTCTTGTCTACAGCTGAGCTAAGGATGTTGATAGTTGCTAGGTGACAAAAACTAAAATTTCTGCATGGATGACCACTATCCAAAGAGTCAAAACCTCCAATGACTTCAATGGCTAGTGACTGAGCATAAAAGCATTTCACTTGTAATAAAAAAAATTATTTATTTGAAGAAAAAAATCTTACTCCATTATTTTACCAAAACTAAGCCTTTACAAATAAAAAAAAACAGAATTTGCCGTATGGATGCACCAACCTTATCTGACAACGAGGCATCCTAAACGTGTTATCACTGAGCCGGTGCTCCGCAGGTATTTCTATCTTCTTCGTCTTCTTGACTCCCCCTGGGACTAAGGGTGGCCATTCCCCCACAGGTTTATCGTCTGTCACCAGCACAGAGTCCAGGAGGTTGGACATCATCAGGTCCCTGGAGCTCTCCAGCACTGTCTGGCTCTTCTTGTTGGCAAACAGCATGTTGATGTTCTTGACATGGTCTATCAGGGTCTGGTTCTCTGGCTGGATCAAGCCCAGGCCCAGCAGCTGATCTGGTTCAGGAGGGGAAAAATAAATTGCTAATGTACACTGGTAAATAAGGGGTCGGCGTGGTCGAGTCGGTAAAGCTCATGGTTGCTAAACCAAAAAGTCTCGAGTTCGAACACTCGGGCAGATGAGGCTTGTTAGCTGGGGACAGCCACTCTTCTAGGAGAGACAACTCCAAAATTAAACAACTGCTGCCTTGTAGTTTGTTCTTGGTTGGACAAAGGCTATGGAAGCAAATCCAAAAAGAAAAGCAGGCTGAAATCGGAGTCAATGGCCTCAATGGCGCATAACCAGTTGACAACGTAACGCTTAATTGTGTTGGAGGCGTGGTCGAGTCGGCAAAAAGCTCATGGTTGATAAATTCGAACAAAGTCTCGAGTTCAAACACACTGTCAGATAAATCTCGATCCCCTTCAACACTAATAATTAAGAACGAAGAAGAAGAAAGAAGAAGAAGACTGGTATATATAATTGATGCATTCTTGTCTGTACCACATACATGAAAACAATATTATATATTATGTCAGTAGGGCGTCTCAGAGTCAACCCAACCTTGATGAGTACCTGAATCATGTTAACCCATATTATCCCAAGGTCTCAAATTTTTATAATTTTTTGATATGGTTTAGCTTTTGGGCACTGAATGAAGGAATGACTATGGATTTTTTTTTAAAATCAATACTTTTTTAAATATCGATTTTTTAAAAAACGTCCCATAAATGGGACGCTAGCAACGAACGGCCCCATGTACATTTATTGAAAAATAAAATCATTTTTCACGAAATATGGCTAATCACGCGAAAATTTAGCTGTGTACTGATTTTGTATTGTTAGACCAATGATTTAATTGTTTAGGACAGCTAAAAAATACTGATAATGATCAATTGGGTTAGCCATACCATGGTCTAAAATTCAGAAATTATGTTCAAAAGTCTAGTTTTCTTTCAATCTAGCATCCATCAAAGTGAACAACACTTGGAAATAAGTAAAGCTGTGACTATTACATCTAATTATACACACATGATCACAAATATTGTTATTATTCATCAAAACTGTAATATAATTTAATATAAATAATTGATTTTTTTGGGGGGCGTACTTGAAATTTTCAGGGGTGGGGACTTAAATTTCAGGGGAAGGGTGGACATTGGTAAAAGTATGTTTTGTATATAAATTCCATTTTCTTCTGGGGGCAGAGCCCCCCCCCCCCCCCCTCTCCTCCGAAATAATGCCTGAAAGAAACTCTGCCCTTAGTGAAAAAAGAGTGCAAAAGATGTTCCGGTCCAGTCCCAGATGTCATCCAGCCATCTTCTCTTTTGTTACCCTCGCTATCCCCCCCCCCACAGGCGTACATTAGGACATCAGACATCTTATTTCTAGGGCACGGATCCGTCTATGGGGGCTTGTATTGAGTGTTCATGGCTCTCATCCATGTATGCACCTCACTATGCGAACAGCTCCCAATCTAACACCAGGAATCTCCTTAAAAAGTTAACAAAGTAAAGCTGGTATCGGTAACCTTTGGAGGGGGATATTATTGGGGCATGACAACTGTACACAGCTAATTCACATTTCTGCTATATGTAGCTTAAGCCCTCTTATATGAAGAGAGTTAACAAACCCCCATTACTGAATCATTTCACCTAAATCGTGGCCATTTTTATTATTCTGGTTTGTTATAATTTTAATATCACGCGCTAGTAAATTTACAGCAATACTAAATTAGTTTGTATTCAATGGTATTAAATACTTCAGTAAGTGTAATTCTGAAAACTTAAAAATAAAATGTAATTTTTTCAATATTTGCAATTTTCTAATACAATAATATATAAGAAAATATAGCTCAAGGTCATAATTAAATATTTATAAATACTACTTAACACCCCAAAGTCAACAGTTAACAAAGTCAACAATTGTTTCACCATAAATAACCATTTAACATAAACATTTGCATCTTTGTTTCTCGCTAGTGTCCAATAAATGTGACGTTTGTGTAACAATCTGCATAAATATAGGTCAAGGTCATAATTAAATATCTATACATACTACTTAACACCCCAAATTCAGCAGTTAACAAAGTCAACAATTGTTTCACCATAAATAACCATTTAACATAAACATTTGCATCTTTGTTTCTCGCTAGTGTCCAATAAATGTGAAGTTTGTGTAACAATCTACATGGGGCCATTCGTTGCTAGCGTCCCACTTATGGGACGCTTGTTGTACACTTGATATAAAGAAGTAGTAAAAAAAAATTGTTATTTTTAAATTTTTATCAGATAGAAATATGGTACTGCTACAAGTTTCAAATGTATTTTGCACTTAAAATGTTAATATTTTAGAAGATATGCATTATCCTGTGCGCATGTTTTCTTTTTTCCGCCATTTTGACAAGTCCTGCAAATCCGGCACTATAACATTTTTCTAAATTATTTTTTTTCACAAAACACACAAAAATTAAATAGTTTAGCCATTTTCAAATACAATGAAACATAATTTGTGTTTTAACTAGTATTTAATAAATTTTAGCAATTTTTTTACCAAGCGTCCCATAAGTGGGACGCTAGCAGAATATGGGTTAAGGAAAATACAGTGACTTGGGCTTAGAACTGACTGCACTATCCCTCCAAGTTCATATGCTGAGGTCTTAGAAACAGGCGAACTCTACTTCCCCTACTATATTGACAGCCAGCTTCGAAAGCAACATGAATACATCACTAGCATACATCACTAGAATACATCACTAATAATACAATACTATTATTAAAGCATGTGTTTTTTTTAAATCAAATTCTAGAACCAGTCAATATTTGCCAGGTCTGTTTCCAGATATGGAACAACTAAACTATGACTAAATCATATATACCGTAATCCTATGTTTTTTCTAGTATTTTAAAACACAAACTTAAGGATGAAAAATAAAGTACCACCTCCTCTATAATCTTAATGAAATTTGACCTGCGTGGGTCATGTGGCAATACTTACCCTGCAATAGTTTTGTGGCTGATATAACCTCATTAAACCCATCAAGGTCCTTAGCACTGGTGGGGATAGCTTTAGCCAGTACTGTCGTCTGCAGCAGATCCAGTAGCCAGGTAGCCACTTCACTGCCCAGCATTGACATCAGAGTGACAGACTTCCCATCTGCCTGCGAGGCTTCAGGTTCCGTATCATCTAGACATTTCACGTCAATATTTAAAAACAACGGGTTCAATTTCTCCAGGACTTCAAGCAAAGTCACAAAGACAGAAATGTACATTTTATTTTCAGGTTGTGATTTTGATTTGTTTTTTGCACTTTTCGAGTCTGACTTTTGCTCTAGGGGACAGACGACCAGTGTTTGGGTCAGCTCCGTTGTCCTAACATCGACAGTCAGGCTACCATATTCTAGAACCATAGGAACCAGGTACTGCTGGAACTTTTCTGCGAATGTTTTGAAACGTCTCTGAAGCAGCTTTGATGCGTTGAGTCCCTGAACCAGTTCTTGCAGTTCCGCAACTGGGGCAAAGGTCACCGACACCTCCTGCAGGGATGTCTGGCCATCTTCACGCTGTGACCCTGATTTTTCATTGGTTTGTATATTCCACTTGACATGGTTCTTCCACAGATCTGATAGCAAGCACTCCAGCTTCCCTCTTTGAACCTGTCAAAATGAGGAATAAGGATTGGAATAAGAGATCATTATGTTGGAATGGTTACAATAACAATATAATAAAGATAAACTTTTGACACGAAATAATAAATATAATAAACAACAACAGATGAATTAGATAGGACCATTTTGGTATGTTAAAACCTGTTAATTTAAAAAATGTACTAAGTACCAATGCAACATAGGTTTAGTAACAACCAAATGCTTCTTGTTCAGATTAGACCATGATCCCATTAGTATGTTAAAAACATTTTTGTTATAGTATTTTTAACTGATACCTAATGACATAAAGTGCAATTATTTATTTAAAGAACTGTATCAAGCAATGGGAAACTAGTCTTTGACAATGTGATGGGAATCAAGTCATTGACAATGTGATGGGAATCAAGTCATTGACAATGTGATAATGGGAATCAAGTCATTGACAATGTGATAATGGGAATCAAGTCATTGACAATGTGATGGGAATCAAGTCATTGACAATGTGATAATGGGAATCAAGTCATTGACAATGTGATGGGAATCATGTCATTGACAATGTGATGGGAATCAAGTCATTGACAATGTGATGGGAATCAAGTCATTGACAATGTGATGATGGGAATCAAGTCATTGACAATGTGATGATGGGAATCAAGTCATTGATAATGTGATGGGAATCAAGTCATTGACAATATGATGGGAATCAAGTCATTGACAATGTGATGGGAATCAAGTCATTGACAATGTGATGGGAATCAAGTCATTGACAATGTGATGGGAATCATGTCATTGACAATGTGATGGGAATCATGTCATTGACAATGTGATGGGAATCATGTCATTGATAATGTGATGGGAATCAAGTCATTGATAATGTGATGGGAATCATGTCAAATGTAATAAGAATACAAGTCTTTGATAAAGTAAAGGAAATTAAGTCTTTGACAAAACACAGGAAAAATACAACGCTTAAAGTCATTTTAAAAATGTAAATAAAATAATTCAGGCTAAAAGCTTACTGTAAGCTCAGTTTTCATGGCTTGCAAAATGTGGAGTTTCTCATGCTGGTCACATGGGGGTTGTTTAAATAACTCTTCAAGTTTGTTTAAGGACATGGCAGCTGAGCCATATTTACCTGATTCAATTGCTGCATCGCATGCCTATAGAGAAATAAAAGTCAAACATCAAATACATTGAGTAATCAGACAAATCAACTTTTTCTACCAGAAGGTTGTAAGGGCTGATAAAGTAAAATTTAGAAAATTAACCCAAATAAAGATACATCTTAAAATCACCATGCAATTCTCACCTGAAGGAGATCATATATTTCAGCTACGTAGTTCAGACCAACCAGGATAGATTTTGTCCCTGTTAATTCTTTATTTAGGTTCTGGAACTCTCCAGTGGACATTGAAAGCTGACCTTTAACCTAAAACCAGAGATGCCAATATGAAAAAAAAAATAAGAAGAGAATTTCACATGAGATTACTTTTACTATGTAAAATATGTATGTACTCCATGCTGGATTGTCTGACACACAACTGTGAAAGAACTTTTTATCAAATAAAAGACATTAATTTTCAACAGTTGATCTACCTAAAACTATAAGCTACAAACCCACAGTCCCTACCTCGTTATTGATCTTTTTCTCTAGTAAAGATATTTCATCCTGGACCTCTATGACCTTACAGGAGAGGCTGTCAGAGGTTTCTAAGCAGGGTCTGAAGTTGACGTACTTGCTCTCAGCAAGCTGGTGAATCTCCACCTCCATTTCACTGAGCTTGTGCATGAGTACATCGATTTTTTCATGAATGGTCTTTTGTTCAAGTTGACCTAATAAGGAAATTGATTATTATTTATACTTATTTTGAATGTTAGTAGCTTAGTGAGAAAGTTACAACATTTATTTGAGACCTATATTTTTGTCACATGTTACATAAAAATATAGTAAAACTCTGTTATGATCATTAAAAAACAAAAAATTTGGAATAACAAACATGCGGATTTGCACAAATTAATTATAGATCTATTTACAAAAATAAGGAGAAATAAAGGAGCTCTAAGTCTATTATATCAACAATGGGTGCACACATACATGTCTTATCACATTGTTTTGAAATAACAGTAGAAATTTATTTTTTTTAAAACCTGCCCCAAATGTGAATAAATTCCGACACTGTGTGAGTTTATATTGGTTTAGATATCAGTAGACTAGACAAATATTGCATACAGGTCTATGAATGGACAATAGCTATTGTGAAATTGTCATTTTTTTTAGTTTTCTAAAAACCAAGCATTATGAATTTGAGGTTGTTGTGTATTCACATTAGATTAGGGTTAGAGAAAATTGGCTCAGGAAATGTACATTTCCTTTATAGAAATGAACATTTAAAAAAGTAATATATTTAAGTCATACACTTTTATATCAAGTGACTAAGCACCTAGATCTAGATATCTAGAATAGATCTATTTCGTCTGACTGTGCTATTCATTTCAACTCATGAGAAAGAAGTATAGTTATAGGGTCTAGATCTAGTAATGGAAATGAATTTCAAATGCAGTATTGAGTAGGGCCTATTTACTATTTTAGTATTTGGGAGGTAGGGAGGGGTGTTGAGCAAGATTTTTTTTTTTAAAAGCCAACATTTCTGGTGAGGAAACAATCAGAAAATCAGACACGACAGATTGGACTTGATTAATGTTTGCTGCTGTGGGGCTACTTATTAACTTATTAACATTACGAAATCAAATGTATGTGTTTAAACTAAGTTTAAAGTCTCCCATAAAATAATTTAATAATTTGAAAAATACTAAAATAATTTAAAATAGATCCGAAGATCGTCACCGTTACAAAGCAAAACGTGAAAACGAAAATGTTAACTTACCGGCATGTTCTAACACTTTGGCAACAAACGATGTCATTTTTTTTCTAACACCAAAATTAGACTGTCATGCAATTAGTGACAAATCGTAACAAAGCGTACATATAATTAATAGTATTATTTTATCGAAGTCATTTTATTTGACCGCCTTAGAAAACAAATGTTAGCCTACGTCGAAAAAAAATCAACAAATTAACTCTAACTTTAGGAAATGAAGAGTGCAATATTTGTGTAGGAATAATAAAGTTCGCCTTTTTAAAATAGCAATTAAAAAAATTAAAAAATATCATAGCATAATCTTCTTAATCTTAGGGGGCTTTTTCAAAGAGTAAACGTGTAGCCATATATATATATATATATATATATATATATATATATATATATATATATATATATATATATATATATATATATATATATATATATATATAATCGCTTTTTTAAATAAAAGAAATAGAAACATTGATATTTTACGTCGCCAAAGTTTAACTTAGGCCTAAACATGATTCGCAGTTGTAAAAACGCCCCCCCCCTCCATTTACCCAAATATATCCCAACACCTATGACCAGAGTTTCTTCCTGACCTCTCTTCGGGGGGGGGGGGGGGGGCTCTTTTGAAGGTCGTATTTTTATATGGTGTCACAATTTTAAAGACAAATTGACCCCTTCTCTGATTCCTGATTTCAAAATATAGTGTAGTTTATAAGCCCCTAACTAGTGGCGTATCCAGTGATGTGTACAGGGGGGGGGGGTGGCTGCTCCCCTGCTAGTATTTTTTTTAACAATTGTACCTTTCCAGAAAAAAAATTGTATCAAAACAAAATTTTAGTACAGTTACAAGTTATTAAGGGAAAATTGGGAAATACAAATTAATTTAAAACAAGCAAGAAAAAATCGTTTAAGGAATAACTAAATTGTTGTAAGTGAAACGGAAGGCGTCTAACTTAGAGTCAGTTTCTGTAGTAACTGCTGGTTAATGAAGGCGCCTACGCCTATATCTTGTCGATGTTTGAATCTCACTGTTGGCTAATGAAAGCTCCTGTCTCAAAATCGGCATCTGTCCAAAACTGTTAATTCACGAAGGCGCCTATCTTGTGGTCGGCGTGGGTATTGAACTTTTGACAGTTTGAATGTGCGGATTTACGACATGACTGGCACTATTTACCTGTTTTTTTTTTTTTTTTCTGTTTGTTTTTTTAATATGCTGTTGGATACGGGATGTATTGTAAATGAAAAGCGTCACTAGCTTAGCCAAGGGTGAGCTGAATAGATAAGACAAATCCAGACAAAGGCGGAGAACAAAAGTAGCCAGGAAGATTGTTTTCGGGTTGATAAAAATAAGTCGTCTTTGCCGAATTCTGACTCATCATCATCTTTTCTCGTTCGTGCCCAAGACATAATTGGCAGGTGAAGCAGAGTTAATCTGTTTCGAAGTTCTCGGCATACCTTGAATAGTCGTGGTCAGCACTGTGCCTAGAAGCCTTGGTTTCCTTAACGTTAGTGGAGTTTCTTCCAGGCCCCCCCCCCCCCCCCCCCCGCCCCCCCCCCCCCCCCCCCCCCCCGAAGAAAGTCTACCGCCCCCCGAACGAATTGGAATTTATATAGGAAATATATACTTTTGACAGTGTCCGCCCCCCCGGAAATAGTTGTCCGCCCCCCCCCCCCACCCCGAAAATTTCAAGTGCACCCCCGGAGAAAAAAGTCTGGAAAAAAGTGGTACCCGTCAGAGCTGGGTGGACTTAGGGACGTCCAATAGAATCGAGCCTCGAGAGTTTCGGGTTTGCAGTCTCTACCATCCGACCCCACTGTCCCCGTCCCCGACACATCACTACTTTCCTTCCAGATGCCTTCCAGATCTTTTTCTTTGCAGAACTTTTATTTAAAGAGATAGAATGCTCGCGATTCCTACCCTAAGAAAAACATTTGGCATATTCTGAAAAGATTATTGTCAGTTTTATTCGCTCAGCGAAATCCCTAAATGTCATTGGCAAGTGCGCCACAATTTTAGTGTCCTTAAAATCATCTTCCTCCATTCCTTCCCAATGTTAAACACGTCTGATGACGTCTTCCCATGTTTTCTTCTGCCTGCCTTTGTTTGCCCATAGATTTGAAGCTTTTCAAAATGTATAGCTAATTTTGTAAAAATAAAATCGCGTGTTAACATAAATCAAAAGGGCAAGTAAAGTAGATTCGTACCCAGAGTTTCTTCCAGGCATTTCTTCGGGGGGGGGGGGGGGGGGGGGGGGGGGGCTCCGCGACTATTGATCACGTGACGTGGACGCTAATTCGTGGAAAGGTCCATTGGAGCTGGTAAAAAGTGGCGGGGCTTAACTTTTTGCCGGTGTACTTTTTGAATAAGTCGCAGAGCTTATCTGGACAAGATCCCACTATCCCATATATATATATATATATATATATATATATATATATATATATATATATATATATATATATATATATATATATATATATATATATATATATATATATATATATATATTATATATATATATATATATATATATATATATATATATATAAGCTAGCGCCGCTCCCAATACCAAGTAACCTGCATACCCCACTGTCTCTTCCTGAACAACCTTTTTTTGGGTGAGGATTTGCTAATATATACGCAGTTATGTGTAAGGAAATGACATAGCCCGTATACAATTTCTAGTCACTGACAGACAGAATTTATAGTATCCTGTCAATCCCCCCTCTCCCCCCCCCCCCCCTCTCGGCCCTCACGCTTCCCCCTCAAACTAATGTCTTGCGGAATCGGTAGGTAAGATAACTAAAGAATGCGTGATCCAAATTCCTTTGGCCTACTTCTAACCTAAAGAGCGGAGGAGGATTTCATCCGGGGTTTTAGGGTCAAGAACGAGAATGAGAAACTGCGAGACTAAGAAACTATATTTCCTGTTTGTTTACTACAGCCAGGATTTCTAAATGAAAAATCAAGTAAATATTGTACCCATTAAAACGGAGCTAATACGGTAACATTGTTTATAAAGTTATTTTTATAACAGCTATTTTGTAACATTTTACGATCGACTATAAAGCATTGAAACATATGCTGCCCAAACTAGGTTAATTTGTTTTTTTGTTCAGTCATTTTGGCTGCTGATGGCGAGATTTTGGTTGGAGTGATTGGAGTGCAGTGTTCATCATTGAAAATAAAATAATTATAATGAATTGACTTGCTGATTAATTAAACCAAAGCTAGCTGATCACATTTGGAATCAACAGTAACAATGTGTAGAATTAACGCTTACTGATAGACAATTATTTAAGCCTACACACTACAGTTCACTACTCTGTTACTAGGGATTTAGGTAAAAAAACACTAATCATCATATAAAAATAAAAATTACATATTCTTGTAGAGCTCAACTATATGAAAACAAAACAAAAAAGATTTTCTGTCTAGCTCAAATAGTTTTTTTTTGGCGAATTTTTTTCTGAGGGGTGGAATCCCCTTGCTTTTGCATTGGCCAATTGTGACAAGTCATGGTATACCTGAATAAATTGAGCATAGTTATTTTACTTGCAGTTGTATTTTGTTCATATTTGCAGAGTTTAACTAGAATGATATATAGAACTTGTAAATGCTGTTGAAATTAATAAAAATAATACAGAACTTATATTTTTGTGTTGGCTTCCACCCATAACCCCAAAAAACTGTGCTGCGCAAATATGAAAATGTTTCTAAAGCCATATTTTATATAAATACAGCAAATGAAAGAACTACAAAGAAATCTAAAGTAAATGACTTGAACACTGTTATGTGCATATAATTGCCTCATTATTTTGGGCAGGTGAAGTAGAGTCCATCTTTAAGCCATTTTGTTATAAAACTGCTGCGCAAATATGAAAATGTTTCTAAAGCAATATTTTATATAAATACAGTGAATGAAAGAACTCCATAGTCAGAAATCTAAAGTAAATGACTTGAACACTGTAATGTGTCTATAACTGCCTTGTTATTTTGGGCAGGTGAAGTAGAGTCCATATAAAAGCTATTTTGTAATAAGTGAAATGAAGTTATCAGATCAATGTTTTTATGTGTGAATTGTGTATGGATTCTGATTTTCAGCATATAACTATATCTAAGGGTAAGTAGAACTTGAATACTTAAAATTACAGTTAGCACAATGCTAGTGTATAGCAACAGACAGGTAACCTAGATCTAGGTCTGACTCTTGTCAGTCTAGAGTCTAGTCTGACAAAATTGGATTTTTAGGAAAAACATATTCTGCAAAACTAGAACTAGAGCTGAAAAAATTAAAGATGGGTATGTAAATATATTTTGAAATAAAAAATTAGATTTGTTTGCACATGCCATAAGAATGCTGTTATTAGTTGATCAAACTTAAAGCAGGAAGATCGGGATGAAAAAATATAACAATGGTGGCAGCGTGACCTACATACAGTGACTACCTTCGGAGGGGTATAACTAATGTGGGAGTCAAAATATTCAAAAACAAATTTCATTTCCAATTACTTAAGATATGTCTGATCAGTAATCTACTCTCATCTAGAGGAATCTTTTAAAAAATCGAGATTCCAACGTATTTGAAACTAACCTTGATACAGAGGGAAGACCAAAGCAGAGACAGCATGCAATCAGGTCGCAAAGCCATTAAAACTAAGGGACAACCACTCTATTTTTTAATTAACCTTAGGAAATGACCTTTTAAACTTAATTAATTACCATAAATTAAAAACTTATTAGTATGCAAAACCAAATCTCGTGTGTCCGGTATCAGAAAGTAATGGGCGATTTCGGGTCATGTTTTTACCGCGAACTCGGCGGATGCCGACAACCCTACTGTTACTGTTCAGAGTACAGAACACTTCACTTGAGTAGTTTTGACACTACAGATGATCACACTTACACTACAGTTCACTACACATAATTACAAATTATTAGGGCCTATTAGACTAAATAATAAATATTAACATCACCCGATTCTTATTCTAATTCTTAGACTGTATTCCACACAATTCAGTAATCCCTCACTTACTTAACTGTTTTTTCTTTGTAGTCACTGTGTTATTATATAATTATTTATTATTACTATCATTCTGGTTCATTCATGAAAAAAGCTGCAGCTGTAGTGTCTCAAGGCCTCTCAGAAATAAGATACTCATCTAGAATCTTACATGCTTGCAGACTTTCATTGCTGCTTACAGGTTGCCAGGTTTTGGCCACTAGATTCTATATTATTTGGATGTTTTATTCAACTTTTAATTCAAGACCATAATATCTGAACAACACATGGTATACAAGAGTAAAAGTGTAAAGACCTTTTTATTATCTCCTTTAGGACTTGACCCTCTTTACTCCATGTGGGGCATTTTAAAAGTTACATAGTCTCCCTCCATTCTGCTGTTTTCAGTTTTCTGCCATCTTTAGTCACTGTTAAACAATATTTACACACATATAGAAATGTCACCATGTCTTATAATAGAAACAAGTGCCTATGGATGTTATTTCTTATTTAAAACATGCAATCTCAAAATTAGATTCTTTTGACTAAAAATATGTTCAAAAATTGTCAGCAGCAACAAACATACAAACTAAACTAAAAAACTGCAAGGAGGTGTTCAAATTTGGCAGAATAAAATAGAAAGCAGAAGATATCACTTATCAACCACTTCTAGTGATGAAGCATACTTATGATGTTGTAAACATTTCTCAGACGTTGTACTTTGATACTTAAAGTTTTGCTTCTCATATTTTACCAACACCTGTTGGTGATTTACACATGTTCATATCCAACCAATCTTTAGCATTCAAATTAGAACCTAGACATAATTGATTTGTTAACCATAAATCAGTGATGTTTCATAGTTTACTTAAGTGACACACACCATTCAATAGATATCAGTAGAGGCAATTTAAGACTGGAAGATATAAAGCAGAATATATATTTACTAAACCTGCTTAGTTAAACTCTCTCTTTGACTACTCTTGACACTTGGCTTTGTGAGATGTTATTACTATAGAGTGAGTTATATTTTGTTATTGTATGATTTTCTATTGATTTGTATCATTTATCAGGTGACAAAAAGTATAGTTCACCATGAATACCGAGGTGGACCCTATTGATATTGTTAAAGAAGGCTATTTGTGGAAGAGAGGTATACATTTATTTTCAAATTCTATGTTTAAAAAATATGCAATACTCAGAATTCATAATTTGTTGACATTGCAGTTTAGCAATAATAAATGTCATCTATTTGATATGTATGAGCAACAAAATTGTTGCTAATTTTAAAAATTTGAATAACATAAGCAACATTGAACAAGTTGCATATTTCAGCATATAAAATATTTGTCTTTTTGGATTTACTTCAATCGCTTTGATACCGGCAGTGTATAAATACAATGTTTTCACTTGGATGGAGTCTTTACAAGTTTGATTCTGAATTTAGGTGAGCACATAAAAAATTGGAGAAAGCGATACTTCATTCTTAGAAAAGATGGCTCTTTTGAAGGCTTCCGATCTAGACCTGAACTCAATGACTTGCAAGACCCACTTAACAAGTTTTCTGTAAAAGGTATCAGTGTTTTACTGTCATTCACACATTGTCTAGATTGATTCATTTAAAACAGTTTGTAAATGTGTAAAGTATCTATTTGTGTCCTCTACTCTCTTACAGATTGTCAGCTAATGAAAGTAGAACGACCCAGACCTCACACATTTATCATCAGATGCTGGCAATGGGCTACAGAAGTAGAGCGAATGTTTTGCGTTGAATCTGTTAATGAAAGGTACAATACTATGCTTCCTATCAAAATTATCCATAATTTATTTTTTACTTTGTATTTGTTCAACGTTTCGGGAATCATTTTTCAAAAATCAGGTAATACCAAATATGTTAAAACCTGCCATATTTGAAATGCCATTCATCCGAGAATCAAATGGGTTTTGATTGACACATTGGACAATGTAGTTAATGCAATAAAAAAAAGTATTTGGTAGTTATGACATAAAATTTTGGGTAAAAGATACTAGTCTCCAAACTACATGTCTTCCCTCACCCATTGCTGATCTATCCTTCTATTCTTACTTCAGCCATAAAAATAAAGAGAACTGCTTGTCCATAGATATGTCATTACTTTTGTTTGTTTTTAAATCTCACACAAACATTCTGTATCAGTGTGATCTGTTAATTATTTGAAAAAATATGAGTTTTTTTCTTTTACACAATTACATTCCTTGTGCGGTAGTGTAACATCCTTTGTTTTTTTACCTCACAGGGATGAGTGGATCCAGGCCATAGGGTCTGTCTCAGATACACTGAAAGTAACTGAAGAAGCCCCAACCACTAACATTATTGAACACAAGAAGAAAGTGGTGAGCTAATTATTCATTAAAGAAATTCTATTTTTATAACAAGTTACCATAAAATGTGTCAGCAGTTGGTTGACTGAGTTTCTTTTTCTTCACCTAGTCTTTGGATGACTTTGACTTCTTGAAAGTGCTTGGCAAAGGAACATTTGGGAAGGTGATCATGTGTAAAGAAAAAGCCACAAACCAACTGTATGCTATCAAGATACTTAAAAAAGCTGTCATTATTGCCAAAGTAAGTATGCAGTGATTTTTTAAATTTAAAAAAATTTCTGATAAGCTGATAGCTCTTCAACCACATTCAACTGCTAGTTTTTGTTAAGACTATTTGAAATAGTCATAGTTGTCATTCTTTTTCAAAATGGTTTAGTATAAATGCATGTTAAATCTGTACAGCTTAAAAATAGCTATATAAGAAATGACTGACCTTATGGTACCATGTATCACTATAGCAGATTGCTATGTATGTATATGTACAACCATCTAATTGAATGTATTTATTCCAGGATGAAGTAGCACATACACTAACAGAAAACAGAGTGCTACAGACCACAAACCATCCCTTTCTCACAGTAAGCTTTTCTTTTTGCTATGATACAGGTTTTTTTTATCTAAAAATTTCAGTGATTCATTAATATTTTTAAAATTCATGAACACTTTCAGTTAAAAGTGTAACAATGTTATTTTAATTTTTTATACTTGACCTTAATTTTATACTTGATTTGAATATTTTTATAAAGTTGACTTCCATAGAAGAAATGCAAGCTTGATGTTTTTTCAAGGCTATTTTTAAGTATTGACTAATGGAGATAATATTGTGATTTTGTAATTTAACACTCTGACTTATTCTTATACTGAGCACATCATTTATTTTTCCTTTACTTTCAGCAACTAAAATATTCATTCCAAACAGCAGACAGGCTTTGTTTTGTCATGGAATATGTCAATGGGGGAGAACTCTTCTTTCATTTGTCTAGAGAGAGGGTCTTTTCTGAAGAGAGGACAAAGTTTTATGGTGCAGAAATTGTTTCTGCGCTTGGTTATTTACATGAAAATAATATTGTATACAGGGATTTAAAAGTAAGTTTTGGGGTTTTACTGTTATGGCAGTGCTTTTCTTAATTAATGATTTATAAGTTGTTAAAAACCCAGAATTTAAAAAAAATTGTTTGGTAGGAATTCTCTTGGAAATAATAAAACTAAGAGTCAAATGTAGAATTAAAACATAGGTGATTAGTGTTTTGGGTACAATCTATTTTGGACTTTAAAATCATTTTATTTCACTCCTAAATATTGCACAAAGCTATTCTAACATTGCAAATTAGAAAATTGTTAAATATTCATTTTATTTTTTTAGCTGTGCAAAGTAAGTTCAAGGTCTATTTTGTAGTTAAAAACTTTTTTATATTTTTCAGTTGGAAAATCTTTTGTTGGATAAAGATGGCCATATAAAAATTGCAGACTTTGGGCTGTGTAAAGAAGAAATGTTTTTTGGTGCAAGCACAAACACATTCTGCGGCACACCAGAGTATCTGGCACCTGAGGTACACCTTAGTGATAGATGTTACCAGCTTACCACTCTACAGATTATCTGTACATTTATATATAGATCAGTTTTATTTGTACTTACAGTTTCTGCTACTGAGTAATTGTTCATTTGGTGTTTTGAAATATTTTTTTTCCATTTTTTTAACCGTTGCTTATGCTCAAACCTGTTGTTTATAAATGTAGTATCCTAGTAGACCTCTTAGACCATTTGAAATTGGTCACTTGACTTGTTTTGGTACTTTTTGATTAGTCATATCCATGTTTTCAGAAAACAAAGAAGGTTTAGGATATATAGATTAGCTGCATTATGGGTATCATTGGTGGTGATGTGTTTTTTGTTTGAACGTTCAGGTGCTGGAGGATAATGACTATGGTCGAGCAGTGGACTGGTGGGGTACGGGGGTGGTGATGTATGAAATGATGTGTGGCCGCCTGCCCTTCTACAACAAAGACCATGATGTGTTGTTTGAGCTGATTCTCCTGCAGCACGTCAAATTTCCCAGAAATCTCTCAGAGGAGGCCAAAAGTTTACTCAGTGGACTGTTGGCCAAGAAACCCAAACAGAGGCAAGAGATTTTTTAAACTTTACTTTAACATAAGACGATACAACCCCCTCACCCTATTTATCCAAGATATTGAGTTAGGTTAAACACTAGTCCTTAATTTGACACCAGGCAAGTTAAGACAAACTTTGACTTTAGATTTTCCTGCGTTAAAAACTTGCCTTTTATGTCTGAAAATACTGAATATGACTGTTATAAATATAATTTATTGTAAGAATTTTTTTTAGAAAATCAGTGTTCTCTTGTATTCATTTTCTTGAGAATATTTTATATATTTCCATTCATTGTAAATTTTATTTATTAATTATTTTAGAAAAAAAAACATGATCAAGACTTAACATGTGTTAGTAATCAAACTTGTGTTTAAAAAGTTGACATGCTTGCAAGATGTGTAGGTAGTGTTAACATTGTTTGCCTATTTCTTTTCAGGCTTGGTGGAGGGGCAGCAGACGTAGCAGAAATCAAAAGTCATCCGTTCTTTGCTTCAATCAACTGGGAAGATCTAGTGGCCAAAAAGGTGATTACACATAGCTGTTTTGTAGCTTAGACTTTTTATTTTACATTGCTTCATAATCACACTTTGTACCTGTGTGGGCCTTTTCACTTTGTTTCCTTTCTTTTGCCAGTAGTATTTTTAAGGATGCATGATAAAAATATAGTTTTAAAATTCAAATATTAGTTTCATCTTTTTGTTTAAAAAATGTAATGCTATTAGGGTTTAAAGTACACTTTTACAGATAATCTTTTAACCTTTTTAATGGAAGAAATGTCCCCTCACTATTTTCTAAAATATAATTTCAAATTGAGAATTTTAAAAAATTCCACCAATACTCTAATCTTTTTCATTGCATATTTAGTTGTTTAAATATAAAAAGATAGGCATACTAAAAAAAATGGGAATTAACAAATTGCAACACGAGTTACAAATGCTATTTTATGACTGAAATTCTATACTTATTTAACTTACAAAAGTTTTAAATAAAATTTCTCATGTGTTCGAGTAATAACCTTGAACTAAAATAGTTAATTTAACCATAGAATAAAACTTTAAAAATGTTCTAACCAGTGTCCAGCTTACCATGCTCCCCTTCTTAGCTTTAATTAACATGACATTTCCAAAAAAATTCTGACCAATGTCACCTCCCCTAAATTAACTTGATTTGTCCTAAAACTGATCAGTGTCCAGTGTCTAATACACCCCTCCCTTGGCTTTAATTAGGTTTACTTGTCCACACTGTGATGGGTAAAACATCTGGTCTGATACACACCCACCATTTACTAATTAAAGCCATTTCAATCTAGCCCTATAGTATGTTAAATCCTGATTTAGTGGAATTTAAAAAGCACTATAACTTTTTTCTGTGTTATTTTAGCACAATTAGAATGAACGTATTGGAGAACATTGTTTTCCGTCTTTCTTTTATATTTAGAACCAGATTTCATACATAGCTATTGACTCCTTCCTATAAATTCTATTAAGCTACAAATTAAGTCTGATATAAATCTAAATATGTGTCTATTTCTATCTCTACCATCACCTCTATGCTTTTCTCCTTTTATCTAAGCATTAAGAAAAAAAAAATTCAAGGATTTTTTTTCAACTAGAGAGCTTCCTAGTTAGGAAATATTAATAATTAATTGAATCCATGAACAAAGTTTCACCATAAAATAAGCAATTAATCAGGCTAAATCCTCTAATTTTGGGTTATTGGGTTTTAGAGGTTTTTTTTTTTCAATTTTAAAAGGTGAATTGAAAACAAAACATTAACATCTAAATGTCCAATAGTTTGATTTCATTTTGACACTTAAGTAGAGAAGAAAAAAGTATTCAGTTTTAGTGAGTCAGATGATGACAGATGTCACCTTTAGTGTAGCATTCAGCTGGGCATGTTGACATTTCCTCTATTGAATGTTTCATTAGTTAACCTTTACATCATGGTCTAGGGATTCTGTTGTTACTTCACTCACACATACCCTGAAGCAAATCTCTACTCATCATTAGCAAATCATGTGCCAGTGGTTCTCATAACTTGTCACTAACACACCCTAGATTGTCATTATTTACATAGCTATAATAAGCTTAGTCTCTCTGCCTTCTCCGGCACTTTTATAAATTATTTAAGCAGAATGTTGTTTATTGTCTCAGTATACCTCGATCAATGTATCTGAACCTCTAGAGGTCAAAGTTCACACTTTTAATGGGCATCATTGATTTTTGCTAGGATGGAATCATTTTTATGTGTTTATATTTAGGAGGGAAACTTTTTTTTTTCTGCTTGGTTTGTAAGTTTGTGGTTGTTGTTGGATTGCTGTTTACTAAAGTCACAACATTCAAAAGATTTTTTTGAGTGTTGATAGCTAAAAGATTAACAAGCTTTAAAAGCTCTTTAATTTTGATCTAGCCTGTCAATTTCCCCACATGGTAATTTATTCCCCCCCCCCCCCGGTAGAACAACGACAAGTGTAATTTAATTGTAGGTTGTTTTAGGTGTTAAATTAACAAAATAAACATGTACCTTCAGTTTTTTAGCTCTCAAATGACAGAAATATATTTTCCTTTAACTTGATACAATCACTCTTCCAAAGTAGTCATGACACTGGGAGATAAAAAATTGTTGTCCCTATTGAAAATGGCTTCTGTCGTAGTGAGGCTGATACACCACAACATCCAGATATTCCTTCTAAATTTTAAGCACTAAACGTTTTTTTTTTAGATTGTAATGTCTTTTCACAACTTGTTTTATTTTCTCATACATTGTTGTTGTAATATTTTTTAAATTTTGGTAGCCCCTTCAACTCATGAATGATTCCCGTAGCTTTAGCTAGTTTATCAACTGATTTGATGAAGTGTAAAGTCATAACTTTTGTTCTCATCCCACTTTAAATATGTCTTAAAATTGATAGATATATATAAAATATATTGTATAACAAAAATTAGCATTATTGTATGGAGTTTTTAATTAAGTTTAATTAAGTTTTTAGAATTTTGTCCTTAAATTCAAGCAACCCTCCCTCTTTCTCTCACCACTCTTAAGAACACAGAACCCCCATGCATATTTTATCTAAGGACCTCCTTCTTGTTCTATTGATTACACCATGTCTCCCCCCCCCCCCCCCCTTCCACTCATCCTTATTTTTCTAGTTCATAGGGTCTCATGATTGTCATTCATTTTTTGCTTTGTTTCACTACTGCCAATCTTGTAGGCAACATTTAATTCCTTGCTGTAAAATTGCTGTGCATGTCTGAAAAAAACTTACATCCAAAAGCTGTGTGTTCAAATATATAATATAAACTGTGCCACAATTTATTTTTTTGTTGTAAAATCCTAAAATTAACAGCAGTAATGAACACTAATGAGACCCTATTCTGTTAACATCTTCATCTTTTCATCATAAAACACATTTTTTCGGAAATTTGGAAACTCTTGTTTTTTATCACCTGGACACCCACCAGATCACCCCACCCTTCAAACCCCAAGTGACATCAGAAACTGACACCCGCTACTTTGACGAGGTCTTCACAGGGGAGGCTGTCAACATCACGCCACCGGTGGGGGTGGGGTCCCAGCAGCAGGCCCTGGTCCCCATTGCCGAGGAGATGGAGACCCTGCCCTACTTTGATCAGTTCTCCTACCACGGCAACAGGAACAGCTTTCCCACTGCCACGCGCATGAGCTACGAAACAACATGGAACCTCTGAAAATAGCTCGGAACCTCTGAAATGTTGGCTCCACTCTCTGACTGTTACCTGCCCCGGGGTCACACCCAAGTTAGCTCAGCTCAATCTTCTGTTTGGCTGACTCTAGCTCTTGTTAAGCTCAAAATAGTTTCTATTTCAACTCCCCATATAATTATCTGGATGGTAATAATGTATAAAGCGCTGAATGCTTCAAAGAGGTATTTGAAACAGGGGAGCACTTGGGCATGAGAATTAATTTTTAAAAGCTTTTGTTAATATTTCTTCAGTGAAATGAAATCTTTGAGTGAATTGAATTAGGAATTGTAAGCTGAAAAATGTGGGTTCGTTTGTTTGGCTTTGCCTTCTTCCACATAGAAAAAGTAAGGTTGTTGGTTTAACAAACCTTTGGACTCAATGGAATAAGGGTGTTAAGTTAATGTCTCAGGGTCTAGCTGGTCTGTCTGTAGATTCAGTGTGAGGTGAAATGTTTTGATACCAAGGTTTGGGTGAATTGACATTGTCCTTCTTGGTTGTACTTGTGTCAGTTCATGTGTTCTGTAGATCTTAGCTGAGGCAGGCACACACGTTTTTTTTACATTTGACTCACACTGAAGTTAGCCACTGCTAAAACTATATACATAGAATATGCAGACATTGATGGGTATGTGTGTCTTGTACCAGCTGGCTCTATTGTTGTCACTACAAGTGTACAGAGTTTCTCCAATTTTTTTTTTTTTTACATTGGATCATTTTGTCTTTATCTATTTGAAAATTGTACTACAGGGTAGCTTATATAAGCCAGCACACATCTTATTGACAATTTTTTGTGTCACCATTTCATCTTAATGACATCTTTTTATATCAAGTTTCATTACTTTAACATTCTGAATATTGTTTGGTTAGACTTGATCAACTTGTTGGGCCAAAGTTAGAATTTATTGATTCACAGCTAACTAGTTAATATTGATCATGTTTTTTTTTAATTGGCAGCTAGGTATGGTAAGATAATGTCCAGCTAGTTAGTACTTTGGTGTGATGAGTTAGTGTCCAGCTATTTAAATTTGATAAAACCATGGCTAACTAGTTAGTTATGATAAGATTGTGGCTAGCTAGTTAGGTGTGAAAAGATCGTGGTATGTGTGATAAGATCGTGGCTAACTAGTTAGTTAGTGTCCAACTATTTAGGTGTGATAAGTTTGTGACTAATTAGTTTGGTATGATGGGTAGTGTCCCGCTATAGGCTATGATTAGGTAGCATGCAGCTAGGACTAGTAAAATACAATACGACTAATGAAAATGTTCCAAGCTTGGCTGTCAGCTAGCCTGAGACTGATCTGCTCACAAGTTTTATGTTCCCTATTGCCAAGTCCTTGACTGTTTTACTGTAGACTTTTTCTTTAGATCTGTTTGTTGTTTTTCTTTGTGTTCTTTAGTTATTGCTGTGTGCATTTTTGTCAAGACTTCAGGAAACAACTTGATAAAATTAGACTGGAGACATTTTGATGTACATGACATTTTACAAGTAAAAAATCTGGCAATGCTTACATTTTATTTAGGGTGCATCATTGGTGTTTAAGTCCTTAGTCTATCACAGCTTACAGAAGGAGACAAATTATGTGTTTACCTTTTCATCAGTCTCTCAGTATAAACATGTGTTCTATATGTATAATTCAAGACCTGTTCATACAAATGTATAAAGTACTTGTTGGTACAGCTACAAGTAAATAAACTAACAAAAAAATCTTATAACTTTACACATCTTTGTTTTTCTTTAAAGCAATGTTTTCATGCTTTGTTACATTATCTTAATTTTTTTTCTAGCTTTGATTTACCTGTTAATTTTTTTTAGTGGTCAGTGCAATGTACATTCATTAATGTATATCTGTAGTGGCTATTGTTGATCTACATCATCAATGGTCAGTGTGGATGGACATAAGTACACTCAGAGCTGCCTACTTGTACACTTTCCCCATTAATTTTGACACAAGTTACAGTTTTATGTTTGTGCTGAAGCATGATTTGCCTTCCTAAAAAAACTAATTTTTCAAAAGCATTGGAAATTTTTTTTTTTTAAAAAGACAAGTAACATTGGCTTCTAAACTTTGAATTTGTTAACGTAAATGGAAATAGTGGGCCATCTTGATTTGCTGAAATAAAGAATTTTTATAGACTAAAATATAATTGTAGTATAATATTTTGGTAAATAAAAAAATAATTAGGTTTTGTCTAGAATCTGGTGTAGTTTTTTTTAATTAGATGTGATCATAAGTTGTCAATTTAATATTTAAATAAGCACACCATGTATGCTGATGAATTTTGGTAATGATAACAATATTTTTAAATTTAACACGTGATATGAATTAATCTTTAAAAAGAAAATTATTTTTTTTTGTCCTTAAAGTAGACAGTCCTGCACTGTACATATGTGGTAGCTATCTTGGCCTTGACCTTTGTCTACTTTATTTACCTGAGTCTGCATCTTACATGCAGGGTTAATAGCTGTCTCTGTTAATTAATTAGGCTAACCTTTTTTTTTTTTTTTTTTGGAAAAATAAAATGTATTGTTAATTAACAAGACAAACTTAATTGCTTGGAACATTTTTGTGTTGTTAATCAACTGTCTATCCAGGCTGTATTGTTTGTAATATTTTTTAAAAAGTCCTTGTAGTTTCTAGTTGATTTCCTTGTGTAGTTATATTTTTTCTTTACCTTTTCTAAAATTGTACATATTTGTATTAAGATTTTTTTTCCCCATTCACATTTTATCTTTGCCATTTGACTGTAGGCTGTTGCAGTCCATTTTTCACAAGCTTTTTATTCTAACAGTGTTAAAAACAAAATATACTCCTCACTGCACACATTTTTCTAACATTTTTGTATCATTATCAATGAACTTTCTTGCTTTGGATCTAGTCTGTTGCTATGAGACAAAAATTGTTTACAGAAGACTATTCAGCACTGGCAATTCAAGGGAAGCTACTCTGTTTCTCTATTCTTACACTTGTTCCCTCTCTTGTTACAATGATATTTTTGGTGTTTACTGCATTTATAACCTTGTAAGCATTTCTTAAACTTTGCCTTGTATCACTCTTCACAGAATTTTTTTTCTTCTAGTTGTGGAAATGTAACATGTCACTGGAGTTTCTTTCTTTTGCTTTTTTGTTGTCAAGTGCGGCAATAATTAATGATAAATCATGGTTGTATTTGCTTCTGTAGGCAATTGTAATGAATGTTTTTTAATTGATGACGTGCTTGGGACTTTATTCATTTTTGAGGCAACAGACAGCTTTTGACTTAACTGGGAGAAATGTGTGTTGCCTAGGAGATCAATATCATGAAGGCATCTTTTATTTTACTGGTGTTTTTTTTTTGTATTTACCTTTTATTGAGGAGACGTATGTAGTTTTGCGTATCATTTTTTGCTCATACACATCAGGTGGACCTCATGACCTCTCACTTCCCCCCCAGTATGTCAGGTGAAGAACTCACACTCTCATCTTCTCATGTGACACCCTGACACCTCACTCCCGCACTGTCTTGTGAATAACTTGACCTCCCACTACCACCTTGTCATGTGACACCATGACACTTCATTCCCACGTCAGGTGAATGTTATGATATGTCAAACCAACCTTCACCCTCCCTGAACCCACCTGAACAGATATCAGATTTTAGATCTGATTTTTTTATAAAGAAAATTAATCACATTACATTTTGTACTGGCTTTATGATGTATGTCATTTCCATTTTTTTACATTATTATTGGTAGAGGTAGTGAGGTATGTGATTAGCCTTGCCCTTAGAAACAGCTGTGTAGAGATTTTAGAAATAGCTGTATATAGCTTGTAGAAAAAACAGCTGTGTTTAATTAGTGGAAATAGTTGTATAGATGCTTTAGAAACAGCATTAGTGAGCTCTATAGAGGTTGTAGAAACAGCGTTACTAAGCTGTAATAAAGCTAGTTAAAATGACCATTTAGGAGCCCTATGAAATAGCTCTAAGAGGGGCCAATTTAAAAAAAAACAAAGAGCGATGGAATGGTTTTTAATAAATTGTTCTGTACTGTGTTCATCATCATGACTTAACCAATGTGCTGCTTGTGTGGCTAGCATCATCTTATACTCATGTCCTATCATTGTGCTAGGAATGTGTCAATGATCTTGTGTTACGCGTGTGCTCAGAGTGTGTTCACTTTTAACTCAGGTACACCACCACATCATTACACGCAATGCTTGTGCAAAAACTCATGTCCATTCATTTTTTTTAAAATAATTTCTTTTGTGCTTTTTAATTCTTTATTAAAACAGTTATTTAAAGAAAACGTTTTAAAAATATAAGTCAAGTAAATTTAAGACGTCTAGAGTGAGAAACAAGAAATGCGTCTACAAAAGAAATGAAACGTTTAATTACTACTGTGTGCCTTCAAGTTTCACTAATAAACTGAGTGTTCCAAGGTTCTTTTTTTTTTTAGCTTTCTCTCTCAAGCATATTTATAAAGTTCATAAATCTGATGTATTTTTTTTTTAAAATAATTAGTTCCTGTAAATTATGTAAATCTTGTTTAGCATGAACATAGATTTGTGCATAGAACACTCAGGTTTACAAGCTAGAATGTGTTAGATATTGTAAAGAAAGAAAAAGGGAAAAATGTGAAAGATAATTAAACTTTAAACATTAACGATTGTGATCAATGTACAGTGAGTTTTGTAGTACCTAAAGAAAATGTAGTAATTTCATATATTAAGAGAAAATATTGTACTGTGATAGAAATTACTGGAAGAAATCTTTATCCTTTCTTTGGCACTGCTTATACATTTTTTTTTCTTCTCTTTACTTCTCAAGTTTAAATCTTGGTGTTGTCAATGATGAGCTCATAGTAAATGTGCTGTCCGCTCTCCCCCCTTGTGTTAATGATGGTCTGTCGAACCTAGTCACTGCTGTGTTGTATTGCTCTCATCCCTCCATCATGGTGCACCCACTTAACATTAAACTCATGTGTTGACAACATTCATTGGTTTTTTTAGTTCTCTCTGCTTTTTTTTTTGTATCTTCATTTTGTTCTCTGTGAAGGTTGTATGGCTAGAGTTATCTACTTGTGTGAGTGAAGAATAAGGGGAGACAATTTATTCAATCACTCTTTGTTGATCAACCAAGTGTGGTTATGCTATAACAAAACCACTTTTGAGACCACTGCTAATTACTTTTCATTAAGCTATTACTGTGTTTATTGACACCATATCAATTTTTTTTTAAAGTTAGAGCCAGCAGCTTTTTTTAAAATTTATAATTAGACTGAGCACACCATAAAGTTTGAAACATGAAATGACTTGAATAGTTGAAGGGAAAATATAACATGGCTTACAATTAGGTTCACCTGCTTCTATACAATTTATATTTAAAATTCTAGGTCATTGACCTATGTTTATCAGTCTGTAACTGTAAGACACCCAATTATACACTTCAAAATAGTTTAGGTAAATGTCTGTACCTTTGCAGATATAATTATACTAGGTTCAACTTCAAGTCAAACTAAATAGTGTAACAATATATTAAATGTATTAAAAGCTAAAATATTTGATATA